GTTTACACAGTCCTGGGATGGAAGCCATGACTTTGTGCATGAGAGAAGCATTCTACCAGCTCAGCCATGTTCCCAGCCTGTGGCTGTACTTCTGATGGCATGAGAAACTTCAAGGGACTATTACTGAGTGGTGATCAACTTTTAATGTGTTGACTATTACTTAAAATAAATGGAGTGTAATCACAGATCTTTGAAGATGCAAAGAGGCTTACCATCAGGACCTCTGTGTAACAGGAATTTACAGTTTGCCATGTCTACATCTTTATGTGAAAACCTCCGTCTCCTCTACCACAGTGTAAATCCCCCGGCCCTATTCATTTAGTTTTTTCTCAGTAGGTCAAAATCTCCCAATTACTCTTTCTTTCCTTTGGGTCACTAATGGTACCATGAATCATAACTTGCCCAACTTTGTAGCTAGAGAGAGACTGCAGATTTTAATAATAATAATTAATAGTATTTGAATATTAGGTATGTTCTAGGCACTATGCAAAACACCTTATAACAAAGTATCTCTTTTAGTCTTCACAACTACTCTGTGAGTGGGCCTAGTGGGCAGTTTGTAGACAAAGAAATTGAAACTAGAGAAGTTAAAGCAACCAGCCTAAGGACAAAGTGGGAGCCTGGCCTCACAGCAATTCTTTAAAATGCCACCCCAACTATACCTCGAAACCCTCAAGCACATTACCCAAGCGCTTGACATTGCGATGGTTACCTTAGGAGAGCTCAAAATGTGAGTTTCTTGACTGATGCAATTAAAAGGTCAAAGGTCAGGCAAATTGTTCAGCGGTTAATAAAGTCATTCATTACCATAGACAGAGCTAGCAGGAAGGAAAACCAAAGTCTGAACATCATTTTCTCCTGGGGGTAGACTTGCCTTCCATATTATTCTGTTGAGCTGTTAAAATGATTTTTAATAAATAGATCCAAGATAAACAGGTAAACTAAGAAAGTGTCCAGAGAAACACACATTACACTATTAAACAGGAAAACGAGTTTAGTTTTTTACAACAGCATATATTACTTTTATGAAAAGAATACAACTTATTTGAAGGACAGTTCAAGGCAATTACAAACAGAAGCAAAGGAATAAGGGATGCAGCTCTGTGGCCTCTTCCTCTGTTTCCTTCTCCTAAATTAAGAGTTTCCACTTATAGCCCCTGAACACACGGTGCTGCTGTCTTAAGCTCTCCACAGCCATGCTCCTTCCACCTTGAATACAACTGTTTACTGCTCCCGCAGTAACTGTTTACTCATCCCACAGGCGCTCAGGTGTTCCCAGTAACAAGCCTTCCTGTACCCTCTCACCCCTGAAGAGAATGAACCTCTCTTTTCTTAGACCTTTTTACTAAGACCTTAGATACTCAGACGCTTGCTGTGGACCAGCATGCTGTAAACATCTTAATGAATTTGCTTCATTTTGAGACAGTCTCCCTGGATAGCTCAAGCTGACCCTGGACTCAAGATGCTCCTGCCTCAGCCTCCTACCTGCTGGGATTATAGGCAGCTCCTGCCTCAGCCTCCTAACTGCTGGGATTATAGACAGCTCCTGCCTCAGCCTCCTAACTGCTGGGATTATAGACAGCTCCTGCCTCAGCCTCCTACCTGCTGGGATTATAGGCAGCTCCTGCCTCAGCCTCCTAACTGCTGGGATTATAGGCATGTGCCACTAGCTCATCTTTCATCTTTTTTTTTAAACAGATAAGAACACTGAGGCTCAGATTCTGACCGGGAAGCAGCCAATCCAGGATCCAAACCTAGATTTCTTTGCCTCTGTAGCTTAGTCTTGAACTCCAGTCCTTAGTCTACACTAAGCACATGCTCTGACCCTGATCTCCACGGGGGCAAAAAAAACCTATTACCCACCACTTCAGTTGCATAAAAACTGGGGTGAGATTTTGAACATTCATGCTCCTTGGATCTTGCCCAGCTTTGGCTTTTTGCTACTGTTGTTTTGATCTGGTTTGGTTCATCGACACTGGGTTCTCTACATAGCCCTGGCTGTCCTGGAACTCAGTATGTAGACCCAGCTAGCCTCAAACTTGCTGCATTCCTTCTGCCTCTGTGGAAGTGTTTTTCTTGAAACAGGGTTTCTTGAAAAGAATTTGCCACCAAATACACCTATCTGGTCATCCCAACTATCTGCACCACAGCAAGCCAAGGCTCCCAAGCAGGACATTCTTTTTACCACCAAAGACAGCAAGGCAACATCATCCTATGGTATCTTATGGAATCCTTCAAGATTTGGGGTTGTTCCTCAAGTACTCTTTAGATGAGTTTTTTTAAAAGACCCTAAAGTTTGGCTAGAACTTTAAAATACAAATGACATAAAAATGTGTTCTGTGGTTAGAGCACTTACTTAGCAAGATGGGTTCCATCCCGACAGAAAGGGAGAGAAGGCAAGGGAGGGGGAGGGAAAGGCAGGAAGGGAGACACCGGTGTGATGTCTTACTCTCTTTAATGACACTGACTGGCTGTGTTAGATGATAAAGCATTCATCAAGTTGCCCCAATAGACTGCAGATTCTGCAAACAAGACATATCCCACCTACTTTCCTTGGTAGTTTCCACAAAGAGAGTACATATGCACTGAGTTGTACGCCATCTCTCAGAAAACAGCAGTAAAAGGCTGCTGGGTTGGGCATCTAGAATGGTGTTCACCACCTCTGCCCTTCTCACATTTGAACGCCAAGATATACAGAAGCCACAAAAAAAAAAAAAAAAAAAGAAAAAAAGAAAAAAAAAAGACATACAGAAGTCAAAAGAAAAGGAACTTTCTGCAGACAGAAATGGCTACTGACCACAAGGCTCTCTGGCTTAAATGACACTGAGGTCACAGCTACCCTTTACCTAAAATTTGCCTAAACATCTCCATTAATAAATAGCTGAAGTTTGATAGTAAATTATCCTAACAAGAAAAAAAAATTACTTCCCAAGTAAGACACAGAACAGGGCCAAGTGGTGGTGGCGCACACCTTTACTCCCAGCACTCTGAAGGCAGAGGCAGGCAGATCTCTGAGTTTAAGGCCAGTCTGGTCTACAGAGCGAGTTCCAGGACAGCCAAGGCTGCACAGAGAAAGCCTGTCTCGAGAAAAAAAAAAAAAAAAAAGACACAGACCAGTAAGCTTGCTGGCAGTCACTAAGCATGTCCACTATGACACACTATGCCTTAGGCAAGTGTCTTGTCCTTTTAGCCTCCATTTCCTTATCTACAAAATGAGGTTAACATTCTGTGAACAACCTACCTCACAGGCCCTTTGAAGGTCCTCACAGCTGTGGATTATTTCTAAGTGGTTATTCGTCCCCAATGAACTACAGGTAAAATAAAAGATTCATGAATCTGCTAATGGTTCTTTGTGGTAAGTGTGCTAACAGACGAAGAACAAGCCACTCCAGCTTTTTCATCATTATTATTCCAGATTTTCTTTCCAATGGCTCTTCCAAAAGCCCTGGGTTCGATTCCCAGAACCCATATGTTGTCATCTATCTGTACTTCTAGTTCCAGAGGAGTCGATGAACTCTTCTGGCCACCTTGGGCACTGGACACACATGGAACACAGACATACATACAGGCAAAACACCCATACACATAAAATAAAAATAAAGAAAATCTAAAATAAAAAATTCTGCTAGTGTTCTGGTCTGGCACATACAATAATGAAACAAACATGTTGCCTCAAAGAATATAGACATTATTTAATATAAAAAGAAAAAATGGCTGGCTCAAGACCTACAGTCTAGTTCCACATAGGTGGAGATGATTTATTATTTTGATAAACTCAAATCAGTGCTTTACCTGCCAGCCCAACATTGACAATGCATACACGGAATAAATAAGCCCTTCAACATAGAAAAGAGCAGGTATAGACTAGAGACATTTTGAATAAGAAAAAAAATGACTAACCACTGACTGTATGAGCACACATAGCAATTGATACAACAGAGTGATGTGAACTAGGTATGAGAAAAAGTGACTTAGTGACTGTCTGAACTTGCTAACTTACTAACTCACAGCCACACACCCCACCAGGTAAAGTTTACACAGAGCTCAGTCAAGGCCAACCAGTCTTTGTTTCCCTATCTTCTGCATTTACCCAAGAGCTTGGCTCTGAGACAGAAAACTCCCACTCTTGATTGGCTCATTCTGTCCTGTGCAATTAAGCAACACCACAATCCAGTAAACGCAATGGCTCAATTATTTATTGTCTAGTCGAGTTTACCAGGTGTTTATGAGAGAACAATGTCAAAGAGGAAAGGGGTTTGTTGCTCTTTAGAGCTGGTTTGACCAGGGATTTATTTTGAATTAAAAAAAAAAAAAAAGATGTTTTTAACCAAAGTGAGGGGAAGCATAGTTTAACATAGAAAGTGGTGGGTGAGAATTTAGAAAGAACACGTTTGTCAATTTCCTATAGGAAATATGATTCTTATGAAAAAATCGTACCCACAACTAGCCAGCCCAAGAGGCTGTGGGGGGGACACTAGTTCCCACCTCCTAAAGGGTACAGCTGGCAACTGAAGGAGCAGAAGCAGGGCAAGGCGAAGAAAGTGTCTCAGCACCGAGCCGCCAGGCCCAGCACGGGGGCGGGAAGGAGGCCCTTTCCAACTCCCCCCACCCCAGTGATCACCGCCGGGCCGGCGTGACAGCGGCTCTGGTGGCCCGAACGTCCCTAGCCTCCGGGAGCAGGCATTGGAGGGCCGTAGTTCACTTCTGCCACCCTCAGCCTAGAGTGCCCTCTCCCCACGGTTCTACCCCCGGAACTCCTCACTCTCCCTCCGCATCTCCCCCTCGAAACTTCCAGCGCCCCTGCCCTTCCCAGGCCGGCTCCTGTCATCTGCGGAGCAGTCCCTGCCGGGCGACCCTCCGTGTCTCCTCCTACCCTTCCGCCTCACTTAAGTGTCCATTCACAGCTCTAAGCACCCCTAAAGCCGCAACCGCGCGACGCCCCGCGGTGTCCCCAGCTGGCATGCCGTCGGGGAGGTGGCCCCACCCTGCACCCCCTTCACCTGTCTCCCGGGCTGAGGCCCGACTGGCCGGGCTGCGCTGGGTCCAGGTGCGAGCAGCTGGGCTCCCGAGGGCCGCCTGGCCTCTCCTAGCCGACGCGGTCAGGCGACACCGAGCCGGGCACCGGTTGTGCCTCAGCGATCCGGTTAGGGCTCGTTCCCTCCGTCGCGACGTCGGAACCCCAGGCTCCCCCTCCTAGTCTACACTGCAGCTCCGGAAACCGCTGAATTACAGCCCCTCCAGCCAATCCCCATCCAGCTCCCAACTGGCCAAGACACGCCTCCGTGCATAATTAAAGAACGGCCAGCTGGCTAGGCCACCCTGAGGCCTCGGGGCGAGAGCGCTACACCCGAAGCCCCGCCCACCGACCAATGAGAAGCGCCCCTAGGAGAGAAGGCGGAGTCGAGAGGCGTCTAGGCACGCCCCCTGTGCGGCTGTTCCGAGAGTTTCGTGCTCCTCCCTCCGCGATCAAGGGAAGAGCGGAGGCCCAGCTCACAAAAAGTCCGGGGGGAGGGAGGAGACATTAGTGGAATGTCCTGCTGAAAACTCAGCTGAGTTCCTGGCAGTGCGTGACGTCAAGACACTTTAAATGCCCTGATACGGCTGGCTTCTGCCCGCTCTCCCTTTTCCCGGCCCTTGGCACCACGTGGGGGCGAGACTGTGAGCCTCCTACCACGTGGGAATCAGGCAGTTAGGCGGTCTCCGGGTATCACCCCACATATGCATTTGGGTTTCTGGGGACATCAAAAAGAACATGGGCGACTCTTGACTGCTCTGAACTTCAATTTCTGTGTGAGTCTGGACATACACCCGGAAATATGACGTGGAAATAGAGTAATTACTAGATTGCGTGGGGGAGAATAGTGGATATAACCCAGTGCTGTGTTCCATCGCTTCAAGCATGAAACTCAACAGCAAGGCTTATTGGTCAGTTCACAGAAATGCAGAAAGCGTACACATGACAGCTGACAGGAATACACAGGATTTGCCATTTCCATGTCTCTGAGTTTTGTGGGGTTTTTTTTCATTACTTTGTTATACTGGCTCTTAAAATTCTGTAACAGAGTTTTGATCAATTTGTTTCCATTAAAAGATACTGATTGTAGGGGCTGGAGGGATTCCTCAGCAGTTTGGAGCACTGGCTGGTCTTGGTGGATTCAGATTCAAGTCCCAGGACCCACATGGTGGCTCTCAACCATCTGTAACTCCAGTCCCAGGGTATCTGATGCCCTCTTCAGACCTCTGCCGGCACCAGGGACACACATGGTGCACAACATGCATGCAGACAAAACACCCATACACATTAAATAATTTTTAAATTAGGTACAGATTTTTAAAACTAACAGAAGACCTATAAAATATTCTCCTTTCCTTCTGATGGTTTTACGATTCACTGTTATCATTAATTAGTCTTTTGCCATTAGGCTTAAAAGTACAATTGAGACCAATAGTTCTGAGACATTCTTCCACCACTGCTTAAGAAATGAAGGATAATACTCATTTATTCTTTCCTGAGTTCTTGAAGTTCTTGAAATTATCTGACGTTTTTCCCATCTTGTCTGTTGAGTGTGCAGATTTTACCGAGTTGAAACTGGCAGTGCGTGGTATGTGTATATATGCTTTGCTTTATGTAACAGAGGATGAACTGTGCATAGTGCAGTGATTTGGATGTGTGTGTGATGATGCAGATTTACAAGTATATCAATAGTGTTTGTATTGCCTGTGTTTAACACAAAGAGTGATAAAGATAAAATCAAAACAGGGCTGTTACCTCACCGCACAGATAACCCCGATGACATTTTTTTAAACACAGCTAATACATACCCAAACAGTTCAGGAAGCTTGACATTTTTGTTTTCTTTATTATTACCATCACTTGGTTTCTTGAGACAGGCTCTCAGAGATTTTCCAGCCTCTATCTCTGAGTGCGCTGAGATTTCAGACATTCCCCACCACACCCCACCTAGGTTGAAATTTATTAATAAAAATCTTCTCCTTCCCCATCAGTCCTTTTCCCTAAAGATAGATATTGTTATTCATTTCTGGTGAGAAAAAAAATCAAGAACTCTTGATTTTTCAAGATTCCTGGGTCTTGGATCATTCTGCAAGAGTGACACTGACTATGGATTCTAGGTCTCAGGAAATAGACAGCCCAAGCTTTTACTCACATCTACTAATGGCTTCCCAGATGCCTGAAACCCTTCCAAAGCCTCCAGATTGGGACTTCAGGTACCAGCTGAGATCCATCTTTATGAATGTGTGATGTCTGGAATAGAACCCAGGGCTTTGAACATGCTATAAAGTACATGTTCTACCACTGAGCTGCGTCCTCAGCCAATGCCTATTTTCAAAGTAAGAAGAGAGTGCCTCTGGGGAGATCCCCTCCAGTGTGGAAACTGTCATATTTGCATAGGAAAGTGTAGAGAGGGAGAGCATAACCATGCATCTTCACTGCAGGGTATCCCACACATCACCTAATTCTCTTTGTGCTTGGTAGCCCATGCAGTTGACTAGCTCCCTGATAAAGTAGTTTAGTATTTGTCTAACGATTTCCTGCTGACAAAACACATATATTCGTTACCCTTTTGTTGTTGTTGTTTGTTTGTTTTAGTCAGGCTGGCCTACAGCTCCAATCCTGACTCTGCTTCCAACATGTCAGGATGACTGACAAGTATGTGCCACCTTGCCCATGTCATTGACTCTTTTCTTTCTTCCACCAATCACTTAGCAAATAGGAGAGGCCATATTATCCACGAAGAACACTAAGGTGGAACGATAAGCACTGTGGCTCAAGGGTATAAACCCAGCTGGGGGCCGGGAGATGGCTCAGTCGGAAAAGTGCCTGCCATGCAAGACTAAAGACCTGAAGCCAGGTCCCTGGCACTCATGGAAAAAAGCCAAGTGTGATCCTAGCTTTGGTGGGGCGGAGACAGATAGATTCCCCAGAGCTTGCTGACCAGCCAGACTAGCCAATCAGTGAGTCCTAAGTTCAGTACGGGGGTGGCTTGAAAAGATAAGGGGAGGGGGGCTTTCTAAATGGCTCAGCAGGTAAAGATACTTGTCACCAAGCCTGACCACCTGAGTTCAAATACCCAGGATCCCACATGATTGAAGGAGCAGACTGACTCCCCCAAGCCTTTCTCTGACCTTCCCACACATGCTATGGTATACAGGCATATTTTTTTTTTTCAAAAAAGAAAAAAAAAGGTGGAAGCCACGTGTGGTATTGCACACCTTTAATATGGTGATCTGGGCACTCGGAGGCAGAGGCAAGTAGATATCTGTGAGTGAGTTCAAGGCCACCTTGGCCTTTATAATGAGCTCCAGTATAGTGAGACCCTGTCTCAAAAAATATGTTAGGAATTGATAATGAAGACACCTGAAGTCAACCTCTAGACACACACATACATTAAAGAAAGAAAACTAAAGTTGAGACAGATGTGATAGGAAATGCCTCAAATCCCACCTGCTCGGGAGGCTAAGGCGGAAGAATCAGGAGTTTTAGGTAAGCTGGGCTACACAGCAAGACCTTGTCTTGAAAACACACACACACACACACACACACACACACACACACACACACACACACACACACACAAATAAGCTTGGAGTTGGAAATGGTAGTGAATGCTTACAAGGCCATTACTTGAGAGGGTGAAGCAGGAGGATTCCTACAAGTCTGATATCATCTTGATCTAATAGTGAGCTCCAAGCCTATCAAGGTTACACAATGAGATCCTGTCTCAAAAAAAAAAAAAAAAAAAGGAAAAGGAAAAAATAGCCAAAAGTGCTGGGCATGGTGACTCACATCTGTAACCCCAGCAGTCAAGAGGATATAGCTTTAGAGAGTAACTTTGAGCTTTAAAAGTTTGGGGTCAGCCTGGGCTATATAGTAAGTTCTAGATCAATCTGAACTACAGATAAGACCCCAACTTTAAAAAAAAAAAAAAAAGGTGTGATGGCACACACCTTTAGTCCCAGCACTAAGGCAGGTATCTGTGAGTTCAAGGCCAGCCTGGTCTACATAGAGAGTTCCAGGACAGCCAGGATTACATAGTGAAGATCCTATCTCAAAAAAAAAAAAAAAAAAAGAAGGAGGGAGGAAGATCTAGCTTAGTGGTAGAGTAGAGTACTTGAGTTTGGCCTTCAGCACTGGGACACGCACACACACACACACACACACACACACACACACACACACACACACACACACGGGGTGGGGGCCACACAGAACACTCAAGTCAAAATAGCCTGAGTGACTCAGCAGTGTGCCAACTGCCACAACTTTGAATCCTGCAGCCCAGCTTTGGCGAACCACTCCAGCCCTGCCTTCCTGGAGTAGACCTTCATCACCTCACAACCTCACATGAACCCATCTGCTCCATCTTTCCGACACTCTTCAAGCCCAGCATGGTAGTCGATATACGGCTGAGGCAGGAGAATTGTTTGATGCTAGCCTGGTCTATTTGACTCATTTCACTAAAAAAAAAAAAAAAAATTCCCTGTTCAGACCTGCCACTGGCCATTCTCCACTCCTCCATGAAGGCCTCTGGTCTAAAGGCTGTAGTTTCTCTCACTCCAGGACTTGACCACAAGACTATTCTCTCCTCACTCTAGCCTGTCCTCTCCTGCTGCCATGGACTTCACCATAAAAGTTAAATAAACTAATATTCAATATGTCACTGCCAGCTTAAAAGGTTCTCCCATTCTCTAATATGGTTACAGGAAAAACAAAAACAAAAACACGGACTTCATCTCTCTGGGCTTGGACCTACATCACAGAGACATCCATGACTAAACACACATAAAGACCAACATGGTCATTAAATGCCAGACCCACTTTAGTGGCCTCCCTCCAGAAAACAGTGAAGAAAACTGAAATCCACCAGCACACCAAATATACTTGTTCTTCTGTAGCAAAACCAAGATGCAGAGATGGGCTGTGGGTGCTGCGGTTCCTCTATAAAAACAGTGGTTGGTGGGACCTCCACCCACAGCACCCCTTCTACTGTCACGGTCCTGTCGGCCATCAGAACTAAAGGAAAGGCCAGCAGAAATGTTCCCATCCCTGTGTAGTAGAATATCTTAAGGTGTGTTACTTTTGTTTATGTTATATTTGTTTAACTCTGTGAAGCTGTGTTAACTGTGCCTGTGTAAAATATCTGATGGTCTAATAAAGATCTGTGTGGCCAATAGCGAGACAGGAGAAAGGATAGGCAGGACTGGCAGGCAGAGAAAATATCCAGAAGGAGGAATCTGGGAGAAGGGGATCTAAGATCTAGCAGCCAGAGGAAGAGGACAACTCCAGGGGCCAGCCACCCAGCTACACAGCAAGCCA